CCTGGGCTCCTTGGAAGGCGTACTCTGTGTGTAGGGGCCTGTCCTGGGCTCCTTGGAAGGCGTACTCTGTGTGTAGGGGCCTGTCCTGGGCTCCAGCAGAGGAGCATCTTCAGCAGGCAGCCCATCTGCTCGTGATGTCCAGCGGGGTCTTCAGAGGCTTCTCTGTGCTCACTGTCACCCGTTTGCTGTCCAGGCAGCCCTAAGTACCCAGGTGAGAGGGCACCAAGCCAGGTCTCTGTCTCCGCACTGTACTGTGCCACCTTACAGCACCATGCAGTATCATGGGGGGGCATAAGTCTAGATTTATTTATTTTTATTTTGTGGGAGGGAACATTCAATCCCCATACACTAAACCGGGCAAGAATCGAACCCATAACCCTGGAGTGACACCAACCAGGCCACCCCTGGTGATATACATCCCATCAACAGAACCACAAAATCCTTATTAGCGGTGCATTCAGCCTGGGTTTGGATCCCAGATGCTTCATTTGCTTTGACAGGACTACATCACCCACAATCCTCAGCCAAACACAATGAACCACGTTGTGAACTGCAATGCCCTTTTTAATGAGACATTTCATATTGCAACAGCCATCTGTGTTATAACAAGTACAAATCATCAGAAAAAAAAAAAGAAAAAAAAAATTGTTCCAAACATCTGAGTCCCTTGGCGATGTCCCTAATCTCAACAGGAAAATCCAAACACAGTGAGCAGACGTATTTGACACCTTCTTCAAACGACTTAGAAAAATAGATTTCATTTTCAAATACATATTTACATTATTAGACAATATGATAATTATGATGCGATGAGCACATAGTCCAAACTAGATGAGGAGAAATATTGGAGAATGATGTGACAGGTAAACAGGGATGACTGAGAGTGTGTGAGTGTGAATGGATGTGTGTGTGTGTGTGTGTGTGTGGGAAAGTGTCAGTGTGCCTGAGTGAGTGTGTGTGTCTGCACAAAGCGTCGTGAGTGTCTGGGTGGTTTGTACAGCTGTGGTGAGGGAAGGACAGCAGTGTACCAGTATGTGCAGCTGTGGTGAGGGAAGGACAGCAGTGTACCAGTATGTGCAGCTGTGGTGAGGGAAGGACAGCAGTGTACCAGTATGTGCAGCTGTGTGTCTCTCTCCTGTATGGCATGACCTGCCCAAGCAAGTCTCTCCACACAGTCCTCAGAGCAGAGGACACTGCACACACAAGCAGTGCCCCCGACCACAACCATGGTAACCCCCCCCCTCCCACACACACACACACACACACACAAAAAACAACATCACACATAATTCAGCCTTCGAACCGAAATATCCGGTTCATACGGTGGGGTGCAGCATTCACCAAATCAGAGCTGGCCAGGATTTGAGGGCATCACACAGGCGGCTGTCATTCTGAGATGCTTGGAGAGACACGAGATTCAGCACAGCGAGCGAAGGAAGAGGAATCTCCGGATCAGGTCTGGGGTGGTTTGGAAGGGAGAGCGGAGCACAGAGGAGACTCAGCCATATCCGGCACCTGGAACCAATCAGCGTTTGATTAATGAAAGAGGAATCGAAGCCCGTGAAACAGCAGCGCCGGCGGAAGGTTCTGGAAACGCGGAGCCCGTTGGGTCGCTCAGTTGCCAACTCAGGTTTCGCAGAAAGCCCAGCCACAGGCCCATAAATAAAAGAGAAGCAGTGCTTTGGAGGACTGGGCTCCGATCACCCCCAGTGTATGCTCCCAGGTCTGCTTACACCCCCCCCCATTTAGCTCTTTGCTATTTCACATGTTACACTCCCAGCAAAGCTGTTAAGGGAAAACCCACAGAAGCTGCCCAAAACTTCATGCCGACCACCAGGTGGCGCAATTTCATTCCTGGGGTGGCCATCAAACAACCGCAGAAACTAATAACAATTAATGTGTTCTGCATATCCTAATGACAGTGCACAACACAGGAGAAATGAAGACAAATCAAATGTTACAATGTTAAAAGTCTAATAAAAAGTACACAAATCTTTTCAAAGGGTAAGATTTAACAAAAAAAAAAGCACAGACTGTTCCGGAAGTTCACAAAGACTCGCTATTGGCTCAAGTTCTTTTTGATCCCCAAGCCCTCAAAAACAGGAATAAATATGAAAAATGCCGCTTGCTGTGAGCTGGAGCCGCTCCCCCGTCGTGGCCCCAGGACTCTGTCAGAAAGCTGCGGGGACATGTCACAGTGGACAGCAGCGCTTCACCAGGCCAGCAGGAGGCGGAGTGGTTCAGGAAGAGCACCATGACTGAAAGGTCACAGATTGAAATCTCAGCCAGGCTCCTGTGAGAGCGAAACACTCCATTATGCGAGTGAGTCAGTGTAAAGCTGTAAAATGTACAATCTAATCTCCTCGTGGACAAAAGTGTGTTAGGAAGCGGCCTTTGACTGCACACCTTAAATCTCCACACTGGGCGTTCTGGTGATACAGCCAAGTCAGAATATGCACTTTGGGGAGAGAATGCTGTGCTGCATGTTTTGGATCTGAACTCTGAGGCATATCATTAAAATATTCACCACAACACACTGATTTTCACTAGCATGTTGCCAGCTTGTTCACACGCCTTTTATACACTCATGAACCGTTTGAGCAGCCTTGACTATCTACAGTTTTCCATAAAAGGACGAGTGCTGTCGTGAGTATGTCTGTTACAAGTGCAGAGGTGGGCAAAATGAGGAACGAATGCCACTCAAAAACCTTCTTTGATTTTATAAAGATCAGTTTCCAGCGTTCGACACCCAAACACGTTTACCTGAAATGAGGTCCATGTCTTTCTTACTGATCCATGACTGTAGCAAACACAAGCTTCTGACCACACTGACTGCAGTGCAAGTAGCCTTGCCAATTAATCATGTGACCACTCATCATGTGACTGCAGTGACTCGGGGCCTGCCGTCTCCTATCATGCAGTGCTGGACGGGCTGTGTCTGCCGTGTCTGGCACAGATCTGAACGTGGGTCGGGCACGGCTCTCTGTGGGTTCAGGTCCTCATGCCCAAAATCACGGAGCCCCAATTGCATCAGAGTCTCTCCCCAGGACATTGGCGTTTACAGACACAGTCACGTGACTTCCTGTGAGAGAGAGCACCCGAGCAGACTTAACCTTGCCGTGCCAAGTGGAGTCCCTCCCAGGTCTGAGGAAGAGGAGGGTGATAAGGAAATGTGGGAGGACGAGGAAGATGGGCGGAGGGTGCCGCTCAGTGGCCGGGCGGCGCTGGTGAGTCCCCCTGGCAGCAGACGGGCCCTCACAGTGGGCCCCGGGGTCCCTCCTCTCGCTCCGTCTGTCTGCTACACCTGCACTCCGCGGCCGTGCATCTGAATAACCTGAGCTCTCAGCGTCTGGATGGCGGCCAGGATCTGCTTCTGGTGTTCCAAGGAGGTGATTCCCAAGCTCAGCACGTCCCTGAGGGACACACATACGCACACACACACACACAAAGGGTTACATGTCATATGCCATGATATGCATTTTCACACACACACAAACACACAGGTTCTCTCTCACACACACACATGCAGTGACTCACTGGACAGTCATGCGGGCCACAGATTCCAGGTAGCAGTAGCCGGCCGCTGTGAAGCTGTCTTTGTAGCGGCCCATGTCCACCGTGTCCAGCCACTCGCCCACGGAGCTGAAGGAGGGCAGTGAGGCTACGGAGCGCTGTGACAGCGGGATGGAGGAGCTCAGGAGCCTGTCGGAACATGGGAGAGGCTTCACTGGGTGGACGGCCGGCCGAACTGGGCGAGGGACCTGGACGGAGAGCCGAGTCCGCCCCGCCAACAGGTGCAGAACACACCAATGAGCTTCAGCACTCAGGTTACCTCGACCAATGAGGCTTGAGCCCTGACTCATCCCCAGCCAATCAGCTGTGCCTCGCGTACCTGGTGCGTGCCAGTGTGGCGGCGGCGGTGGTGCCCTCGGGGCTGCGTGCCGCCTTGCTCAGCGCGCTGTGGATCTGGCTGAATTTGGGCCGCTCCGCACGCTCCTTCTGCCAGCATTCCAGCATCAGCTGGTGCAGGGGGGCGGGGCAATTCACAGGCGCGGGCAGGCGAAAGCCGTCCTCGATGGCCTTCAGCACCTAGGCGGGAGAGGGACACGCGTATCAGGGGAGGGGCTTTCAAACAGAAAGGGTCACTGTAAGCGGCAAAAAACAGCCGCTGGGTTTGAGAAGCTAAAACCAGCGTTACGCCTGTACATCTCATAGAAGGTGTTTCTCAATACCAAGAACATGAAGATTGTACTTGAGGTCTTGGCAAGACTGGTCTTGCTAACTTCCCTCCCAATAATGAACTTGGGGTGCAATGAATCATGGGATTGGTCTCGTTTGGGGCAGATGCAACTGACGTATCTTTGATATTTGGGGTGGGGTAAGAACAACATCCGGGGATTTTAATTGTCTCCTGTACTTCGGTTCTTAGTATTGGAACTGGTCTGGCCTTGGGAGATGATGTTAAACGGGTACGCGAGAACACAAGTACGGTCGGGTATGCATACTAGGAAGCACACAGAGTCCCAGTACAAAGCGGCAGCAGCTTCCAACATCACCTGATGATGTCATCACAGGGGTGAGATGTTTCACAAAGCAGCACGTTCTGTTCGCAGTGTATGCAGAACAAGCTTCCCCACGGCTCCCAAAGGGAACTCACCTGAGCCACACGCACTCACTTTCCAGCAGAGTATGTCTTTGACCAAAACAAATATCAGCAAAGAAATAGGACCGTTTTTTACAGTGTTCTCCTTTATTGCTCATCTGCGAGGTAAATGTTCTGGGAGACTCGCGAGTAATTGGCTCCTATCTGCTCTGCGATCTGCTCGCCCCGCCTGGCAGGTGCTGCCTTACTCACCGTGACATCATATAGCTTAGGCAGACTGGGACTCTGCAGCTCCGAATGCGGGGGGGGGTGCACATAGGCAGAATGACAATGGCATTTTTCATGGGGCTAAAGGCGACTCGGAACTGGCAGGGGTTGAATTTCAAACATCTGCGCCCCCCCCCCCCCAGTTGCCTTTTTCTTCAAGCATAAAATTGTGAAAAAGAGAAGGCTGGAAGAGGGCCAAGGGGGGGGTACGGGGGAGGGACGCGAGACAAGGACACTCACGTCCTGGCTGCCCATGTCCCAGTATGGCCGCTCCCCGAAGGACATGACCTCCCACATGACGATGCCGAAGCTCCAGACGTCCGAGGCGGCGCTGAACCGGTGGTACTGCATGGCTTCGGGCGCCATCCACAAGACGGCGCTCTTGCCCCCGTGCTGAGGCGGCGGGGCGAGATGCAGAGGGAGACATTTACTGAGCAGGAAGGCGACACGGTCTGCTGCACAGAGACTCGCAAACAGGGACAGAGCAGACGAGGCGGCAAAGGGGGCAGGGAGGGGGGCCCCAGACACACGCCGCTACCCACCAGTGTGGTGTAGACCGCCGCCTCCAGCCTGTCGTCCTGCGGGGGCCGAAAGCCGGACACCTTGCAGGCCAGGCTGCTGCTGACCAGCACCTTGCGGGCGGCCAAGCGTCGGTGCACGAAGCCCATCTCTGCCAGGTACTTCATGCCGGCGGCGACACCACTCAGCATGTCCAGCAGCTGCAGCACACTCAGCTGGCCCTCGTGCTTCTGAAGACCAGGGCGGGGGGAAAAGAGGGATCACAGACGTACTGAGAGTAAGGAGCTGTGACCTCAGAGACCCAAAACAGAGAGGGAGCACAGAGACACAGTCACAGACAAACACGCACACACAGACACACACACAGTCCACATATTCATATCGTTATGAGGAATTTCCTTAAGCCTAAATATGACACCCTTACCCCTACCCAGCCCTAACCTTAACCATAAGTAACCAAACACAATACAAGTATTTTAGCATTTTTAGTTTTTTGATTGCAGTCACAGATTTTAATAAAACTGAGTTTCTCCTCATGGGGACCGAAAAGGTGGTCCCCACAATGTCAGAGTATCAGGTTTTTATCACTTTTTGGGGAAATCTGGTCCCCATGATATAATAATTACAAACACACACATAGACACTCTTACCCTGAGGAAGGAATCCAGGGCCCCGTTGGACATGCACTCCACCACGATCATCAGGGTGCTGCCTGTAAATGCACAGAAGGCTCTGTCAGCGCAGCTCCTGTGCACTCAGGCAGCAGTGCAGGTTGCGGACTGTCATGCACACGGCAGAGCCACGCTGCCTTTGCAGCCTGCATCCACACACGCTGCTTTACTCTCATTACCCATCCTCTGCTCCCCTCATCCATCCTGCTTCCACCACTCTGACTGTTCTGCGTGATTCAGAGCACGCAGAGCTCCTGAAGTTCCATCCTAAAGGCTGATTTATGCTTCTGCCTCACAAGCACCTCCCCAGAAGTGTAACTACAGGGTGTGGCGCAGGGCACGGCGCATGGCACGGCGCATGGCATGCAGAGCTCAAAGATGCGCTGCGCACAGCCCCACTGAACACAAACACACACTGAGTATGGCCGTACTGAGCACAGTTGCACTGAACGCAAACGCACTGAGCACAGCGACACACTGAGCACATTGGTGCTGAGCGTCAGCGAAAAACAGAGCAGGAATCTGGATTAATCAGACGGCGACTTAGTCAGCTAATTAGCAGCAACACCGCATGAGCCAGTGTGGTACCTGGTGCGGCTTTGGAGCAGATGTGAGGACTGGGGGGGGCACAGGCCGAATAACAGGGGCCCGATCCCTGCTCCAGGGGGGGCGGAGAGTAAAGGCTGACATTTGCAGTCGGATCAGCGACTCGGTGCAGGCGGAGCGGGACGTCAGGCTCATCAGCAGCACCCCGCTGAGACCGTGCGGCCAATTACCACATCCTGAACATCTGTGCACCTCCCAGGGTGGCCCTTCGCTGCTCTGTTTCCATTCACCCCCCCACGCTGCCCCCCCGCCAGCGTCACGCTGTACCTGTATGCTTAGTAGGCACCTTCAGTGAATGATTTACAGCCCCATGTTCATCCAGATTGGATTTTAGCGAAACAGTTAATCAACAATTCAGTTCAGGACGATAACAGCTGCTCCCCACTAACACGGCAGTCACATGCTCTGCTCCTCCGCAGTACCTTTCATACTCGGCTGGCCATTCATTTTCCCCAAAACCCGGCACAATTGTGCCCCCCCCCCCTGTATCCTCTCCACCAGGGGGCAGCAGAATCGCAGCTTGGCCACACAGCCTGTATTTTCCCTCACTCTGTCTCAGTACTCCTTAATTAATTAAGGTGATTGGACAGATAATAATGGCACCTGATTTTTGCAGGTGTGAATATTAATGATCAGGTCCCTTTCCAAATACAAGTTAAATTATTGCATCCGTAACTAGGCACCCTGCGTGTTTGGCCATGCCCCCTCACCTCTGGTGATGACCCCCTCCAGCCGCACGACGTTGGAGTGATCAAACTGGCCGAGCATGCCAGCCTCGCTCAGGAAGCAGTGCCGGCCCTTCTCTGAGCAGCCCGTCCGCAGCGTCTTCACTGCCACTGGCAACTCCCGCTTGCTGGGCAGCCTCAGGCAGCCGCGGCACACCTCCCCGAACTCGCCTGCAGGGGGCGCAGTCACACACTCAGCAGGCCGTGGCGTGGAGCCCCCCCCACCCCCAGAACCTGTGTGCTCATGAAGATGACCATGGGCCATTCTACTACCCACAGGGGGGCTCAGCCCCCAGTGAGTCAGTAATCAATTACTGCTGAAGTTCCCCTGGGTTCTCCTAACGTCCTGGCATATTAGCACTGGGTCTTAGAAGACGTGGTGTCACTTTTTAATAGATTTTAATAAAAATGAATGAGAACACACTATTCAAACGAATCAGTGTACATTTATTATTTTTATAAGGACATAACTGCTGAACAATCCTGCAGTGCCTGTGACATCCAGGGCACCAAGCGCCATGCTAAGACTTGCTAACACCAAGATGTTGCACGATGGTAAGTCCTTTTGCTAAGATGTTATGCTAAGACATAATGTTAAGATGTTACACTAAGGTGCTACGCTGTAACGTTATGCTAAGATGCCATGCTGTTATACTGAGACGATGTGCTAAAACACCACGCTTAGATGTTACTCTAAGGTGCTACGCTATAACGTTATGCTAAGATGCCATGCTGTTATACTGAGGCGATATGCTAAGCCACCATGCTTAGATGTTACACTAAGGTGCTACGCTATAACGTTATGCTAAGATGCCATGCTGTTATACTGAGACGATGTGCTAAAACACCACGCTTAGAAGTTACACTAAGGTGCTACGCTATCACGTTAAGATGTTATGCTAATATGTTATACATAGCTCTTCCTCGCTCATCAATTATGCTGCCTATAATGCAGTCACGCTCTCATTCAGGGGCCGTTGTAGGTCATCCGGGGGCGGGGGTGCTACAGTACCTGTGTGCAGGATGCGCTCGATCTTCACGCTGGAGTTGTCCAGCTCCTTGGCGAACACATGTACGGCCTGCACCAGGTCCTCACACGTCTCAGGGTCGATATATGTCCTCCGCGTCGGGATCTTAACTGGGGGGAACAGCGGGGAGCCTTTACTGGGATGGTCAATATTACAGCGCCCCCCCAGGGGTACATGGTGAACATGTACGATGCTGTCATGACAGACAGGCACATGCACAGGAAAACACAGTCGCATACACGCACAGAACTCTCGTATACACATGCTGCCTTGCAGGAGGCCAGCGAAGGCCGGTCGTGGTCCGTGTCCGGTCCAGGTGTTGAGCATTACATCGACCCTGTTGAATCGTATACATGTGACACCTCTCTCACCACTTATCAACTGCAGCTTAACGCACACTGTCAAACACGCACAGACTCACATGGCAGAGTCACAGGCGTGAATGTATCCTAATTAAGGTACAAATGAAAGCTGTCCCACCCAGGCAGGGAGGGGATCTCCCAGGGCGCTAGGCTCCAGCCAAACTCGCTGCTCTGCTTTTTAAATGCATCGCCGGCTGGTGCCTCTGCGCACGTGCTCACATGCATGTGCGTGTCAGTACGCCTGAACATGCTACCCAGTCGTCTACGCGTCCACTTTGCATATATGTACGAAGGAGATTGTCTCATGAGGTCTAAGTTTCTCATTGGTTGGCAAATCTAAACCCCGCCCCTTGCGAATGGCTGCCCCACCCTGATGTTCATTAAGCACCAATCAGCCCAGGCTGGGAAAACAGCATCACTCAACAGTCCCACAGTCTCCCACACAACGAGCTACTTCGAGCGACTGTCTTTTTCTAGGTTCACGCATTTGCAGGAAGCTACAAACACACACACACACACACACACACACACACACGCACGCATGCATGACCCGAGCCAGTGGACCAAACTCTCTACACAATTCAAAAGGACAGGCAGGTGGCGCCGGCGCTGTCACTCACACTGAAAGTAGAGCTCCTCGTCGCCTTCCTGGCTGGCCTTTCTGTAGCCGCAGTGCCTGTAGAGAAGGGGGTGGGGCACTAGGTGAGCACAGACAAATAGAACCATGTGTCCCTGGCAGGAAACAGAAGGACAGAGAGCCTCCATGGGGACAGGAAGCGCACCCCCCTCCGGCATCACCGGGACAGATGGGCCGTGTTCCGCCACGCTAATCGCCACAAAGCAGAGCTCAGCGCCCTCTGGCTGCGTGCGTCTCCCACCGAAAGGTCAACCCCGAGCCCACAAGGGAATCACGCAGCCAGGCGCTGTCTCGGGGCGATGGGGGGGGGGCCCTTAGAGATGCCGCAAAGAAGGGCAAGCGGCTAGGCCCCGCCCCCTTCGCCACGTTTGAGCATTTATACCTAGGGGTCAAACATCACACAAAGGTCAAAGGTCAAAGCACAGGTCTACCGCTGTCGATTGTTCGTCAGAACTGTTCCTGAGCACGTCCTACAGGCCAGCAGACCCTCTGAGGGGGGGGGGAGGGGGGATTGTGCCATTTCTGACACCCTGGTGAAGAACCGCCCCCATGATCATGCAGGGATGCGCGCACAACCGTCCATGACGCAGGGGTTCAGCGAGCAACCACTGGCACTCGGGGACACTTCGTGGGGACGCCCACCAGGAGGCGATAGGGGACACTGACCGCGGTGCAGCCCATGCACTGGGGAAGCATGCTCATGTCTGTGAAACACACTCCTGGTGAGAGGATGGCAAGTGGGGTGACACGCACATGCATGGGTGCGTGTGTGAGTATGAGGATGCCTCTCTCTCTCTCCGCGAACCTCACATGTTCCCACGTGTACAGACTCACTCACACGCACAAGCACATGCAGCCACAGCCACTCAAAATCACGGCCGCACCCCGCAGAGAGAGACACGGCGGATGCTTACAGGCATGCCAGAGTCATTATCGCATTAAACACGGGTGAAAAATGCACCTGGCAGCACTTTCTGCGTGTGAAGCTCGATCTTGGAATTACCCGGCAGATGAAACTTGTCATCACATTCAACTTGAAGGTGAAATGTGTGTGAAAGCCATGCTGGGGTGGGGGAGGGGGGCGCAGGAGGCGGTGAGGAGGCGAGGACCTCTCTGTCCTTCTGATGCTAGGCTAACATGGCAAACATGGCAGTGAGAGAGCAGAGGAAGCAGGGAGGAAGATTATGACGGATGGAGAGAGCGCAGGCATGCCTGTACCTGGGAGAAGGCTGGGTGAAGGAAGGAGAAGGAGGAGGAGGAGGAAGAGGTGGAGAAGAGGAGGAGGTGGAGAGCAGCACCACGCTAGCTGGAGCTATGTTGGAGGAGCTGGAGAAGAGAAGGAGGGGCTGGGTCACCAGCTGGGGGGCCAGGAGTTAGGAGACCCCGCCCTTGGTCTGTCAGAGAGGGTGGAGAAGGTGGGCAGACTGAGAGCTGAACCCAGCCCCCTACTGTCACCACGGTCACAGGGCAGCTGGGAAAACACCAGGGGGGCGGGATCAATTTGAGCATGAGCCAATCAGAGAGGCTGGTTAGTTGGAACTAATCGAAAGAAGCTACAGGAAAGACCAACAAGTGAAGGTTACATTTTAATAGGCAGGAAGATGGAAATGGCCGTTCTGACAGTGAACCATCAGCATCAGTGCGGAGCTGACTGCTATCTTCAGGGCTGTACTGGACTGGCACTGTTTTTAATCATTTATTTACTGGTATTATCTTTTTATATTCCTTAAATTTGTCTTAACAGCATTGAGAGCTACTAACTGAATCTCTTTGTACTTGTGCAGTGATACATTTTATTCTATTCTATTCTATATTTTATATTCTATGTCCAGAATCCCATAATTGGCCAAAGAGCCATTTCACAGCCTGTGTGGCTGTATGTACATGCCTGTTATGCCCACATGACAGTGTATATGCGCACAAAGATATCACAGCCTCACTGAACCAGCTCAGGAGCAATAACAGATCGATGTTTGTGTCACATGATGCTCTGCGCGTCTATATACAGATGTGATATACGGTCCATTTCAGAATATTCCTGAACGGTACATCAGTTATTTGCATGAACCATCCATCAGTGACTATTCAAGAGCTAGCAGACCTTTTTATCTGTATATAGATCAGTTTTCAGTACGAAATATACACACTATAAAAATTTTTAAATCAATGGAAACTGTTGTGGCAGAAACCTGTGTGCTCTTGTGTGTAAGAGCCTGCGATGTGCGTGTGTTTGTAAACATGTGATCTTGTGTGTAAGAGAGCCTGTGATGTGTGTGTGTTTGTAAACATGTGATCTTGTGTGTAAGAGAGCCTGCGATGTGCGTGTGTGTTTGCGCACGTGTGCTCTTGAGTGTAAGAGAGCATGTAATGTGTGTATGTGTTGGTGCACATGTGCTCTTGTCTGTAAGAGAGCATGTAATGTGCGTATGTGTTTGTGCAAGTGTGCTCTTGTGTGTAAGAGAGCATGTAATGTGTGTATGTGTTGGTGCACATGTGCTCTTGTCTGTAAGAGAGCACGTGATGTGCGCGTGTGTTTGTGCACGTGTGAGCCCATGCCCGGATTCTTTGTGTGACTGACAGCATCTCGGCATCCATCGTGCACTCCCCAGCTCGGAATGAATGAAGGCCATTTCACACTCGCTTGCTCTGATCTTTTTTCATCACAGAGATTAATGTGGAGGTACAGGTGCTTCGCTTTTTCAGGCCCCCCCACCCGGACATCACAGGCATGGGGTTCCTCCATCTTGCCTCCACCACAGGATAGACTGCGTGTATCTCTGTGTAACATTCGTCATGTTCCTCTGCATGTATTTATGCACGTGTGATATTCCTGTCGGTCCTTATCAGACCACATAAAGTCACTCTAGATAACAGCAGAAAAAAAAAATACAAAAAGACAAGCTTCTGCATGTTTGAGCCATAAACCAAACAGCTGTGATTTGCAAAGCAGACAGATGATGTCACCCTCAACGTGACTGAAGATCACGGCACACAACATGGAATGGACACATCGGAAAACCGGCGTGCCGCTTGGCTGGGGACTGATGCACAGCAGGTAACACAGCGGTCACACGGCGAATCACATGGCCGGCATGCCACACCGTAAGCAACACGAGGGAAGAACTAGCCTCGCACGACGCCTCAAAGCGCCGCGTGTTCACGGCGGTGAGACGCCGTAGTGCACGCCGTATGACTGAAGAATCATAACATGTACGATGCACTGCCAGAAGCGGCCGTCGACAAGTGGCAGACGAAACACCAGCAGAGGAACTCTGTGGTGTAGCTCCCAACCAAGGAGCGAGACGGACTGATGTGGAGAAACCAGCCTCAGCTTCACGCGGCAGCGAAACAAGCCGGAGTCTTACAGGAGGCCCCGCCTGGCTTCATCTTCATTCCAGGAGACAGATGCTTTCTAGCACACAGGAATGGGGCATGGTGGGCAGGGAGGGGCAGAAGCCAGAGCTCACAGCACCTCCAGAACATAAAGCGCGGCCTCCTGCGATGCACACGATAAAGAGGAAGCTGCAGGGAGCTGCAGCAGGAGCACAGCGGGGATTTCCATGTGGACGAGGAGAAAAAGCAAAGTGCCAATGAGGAAGCACGTCAAGGGCAAGCAAGAGGAGCAAGAGCAAACTTCCGCAGCGTCTTCAAATCCCCAGAATCACAGCACAGCCTCCGTTACGGTGGCCCGTGCATCTTAGCCAATTCATCAGGCCTGGATGAGCTCTTAACTGAGCTCAAGCGCAATTCAAATCACGTGACAGAAGGTATTAATTGATGTCCTGCTAACACTATGTCAAACCATCACATATCAGTAATTTAGCGTTAGATAAGGACACAAAGACTACAAACGAGTTTTAAAATAATTAAATTAATCAATTCATAATAAAACCCTCATCAAAGGGGCAAAACTTAAGATATCTTAAGTATTTTTAATCATTAAATTATTCCAAACAACAATTAAGTTCAACAGTTAAGCTAGTCTCCAGCTAACAGAGTCATCTTGACATAATTCATTTAAAGTCTTTAAAACCCTAAGCATATTTAATTCTATCAACAACTCAATCAAACATAATTAATTAAAAGCCCATTTTCACGGGAAACACAAATGGGATGCCGCATGGAATGTGACTTGACGATAAAAGACCTGAATGGCCCATAGTTACTCCAAGTTAACCACGTTTCCTTAATCTCCGTGACCTGCCAAGCTGCTTGGACTTCACAGAGTAGATGACTGCATTTCTAAAACTGCTGTTTGCTTTTGACGGACAGGGGAGAGGGCCAATAGGAGCACAGGGGGCGTGCCAGTACCTTCTCCAGATGAGCAGGCCGACCCCCAGAGAAAGCAGCATGATGAGGGCAGCCACTGAGACGACCACGATGATCACCACGGGGCTCTGCTCACTGGAGGCCAGCGCCACTGGGGGGAGGCGGGGAGAGGGCAAGCAGGGAAAGGGGAGAGAGGGAGAGAGGGAGAGAGAGCCACCCACCCATCAGATACCACATCGCACACAATACAGTTCAAGCACAGCAAAGAAAAGAGGCAACTTATATCTGTCAGAGGCAGAGAGAGGAAGAGCCCAGCTAATCTGAGCCTCAGTGGCGGGCAGCTTTACACAGGGGTCAGCACCGGAGACAGAGCCTCGGAAAACAGGCGTAATGGGAAAAGCAGCCTTGCAAAGCTGAGTTTCTCATGGGAGAAACAGGATAACTAAACGGAGTGACAGCCGGAGAAAGATCACAGCAGGAGAACGGGCCCTCTGACACACGGCCCACATCTCGAACGACGCCCAACCATGCTGCACACCCCGGGGAGGGGGCTAACTCACACTCGCCCAGCGTCTGCAGCTCCAGGGGGGCACTGTAGGCCCCGTAATCCAGCAGTGAGGAAGCAGACAAGGAGGAGGGAGAAGAGGAGGAGAGCGAGGACGATGAGGAAGAGGAGGAGGAGAGGGCCGAGGAGGACAGCAAGGAAGAGGAGGGGGCAGAGCGCAGCCGGACAAGGAAGACGTAGGCGGTGCCGGGCTTGAGGTTCCCGACGCTGACCCGGGTGGCCGTGGTTTTAACTGTGGAGTAGCTCTGGTCCTTCTCGTCCTGCAGCCCAGGGACCAGAGCAGAGATGCACTGAGAAGAGCGAGATGCAACACTGTACTGGTGTTATGCTGCGTGTGTGATTGTTTTTGTTGATGATAGATGGCCCGTTACTGCACAGCTGCAGGCACAAGGAGTCGCAGGTTAATGCGATGAAACATGCGGGACCTGGCGTGTTTTACAGGAGCCTTTCAAAAGCCTCACAAGTGCTAATGCCTCAAAGAGCAGCAAAGCACAGGAAGGCTCTCCTTGGCATTTAACGGGCTCCGGCACATCAGAGGGAGAGAGAGCTGCCTCCTCTGCCGTGTATGTACGTGTGTGTGTGTGTGTGTGTGTGTGTGTGTGTGCACGTACACACACTCACTCTCTCACTATATAGAGTGTGCACACCTGTGGA